AATTCAGGATTCGTCCGTCGTTCAAATGGAGACCAGGGTGGTGGTGGAGGAGGATGGATATTACGGTCCAACGTCGGCAATGGTAATTCGAACAATGTCGGTAACGGAAACAGCAATAGGAGGCTAAGCTCCGTTCTTGGAGATACGACACAGAGAATGAAGGATGGGCCCGGAAGACGGTATCGAGTGTTCGAGGCTGCGCCCCAGGATTCCAGGGGAATGCCGGCGAAAAAGCCGGTAGTGGATTACTTTTTGTAAAAGTAGTGGGGATTGGCGATCACAACGTGAGGTAGGAGGAGGAGTTGTGAGAATTTCCATGCCCGAAAGCGATCTCAAGGGGATGGCGCAGGATACCCTGGCGTTTGTGTTTTGGGGGAGTTGAGCGTAGATGGGATATATCGATTATGACAACGAATGAATTGGTAACGACACCCTGGAAAATATATGTTTTGCGGATTGAGTAGTATCTTTTGAAGGGTGCATTTATTTGCGATGGGTATATTGTGAAATGGATGCAGGTGGGTATAAAAAATAATGACAAATGAATACACGAAACGCCAATCGCTGTGCTTTCAAATGCGTCCTCTCCAGTCTATTCTTCCGTTGTTTCCTCGTCGACTCGTCGACTCTTTCTGGGCTGACATTTCATTCATTTTACTTCGATGAATCATGCCCATCTCGTCTCATCTTTCCAGCTCACTGGCCGCCTCTTCATCAAATCGTACTCTCCTCTCCCGTTGATCCCTAAATCGGCTTGGAGTCTTTCTGTAGTGAGGGTTTTGGTTGGTACTTGCGAATGGTTCAGGCGTGACGACGGGTTGGTTGTGTTGTAGCTACCGTGATGGTGTGCTTGTAAGTCCAATATAGTTGTAGTTTCGGTATGGTTGTAATCGTAGTTGTGGTTGCGTAGTAGTAATAATTGCGTTGTAGTTGTAGCTGTGGCTGTAGTCCCTAACTAATATACACTATCATTGAGATCGCCTTCTGCGGCTGTTTTCATTTGTGTAACGATCAATAATTTGCAAAGATATTCTGTAAAGTTTGTATATCAAAGATGGCATGATTATACAATCAACATATCCAAAAGGAAAACCCACATTATTCCCCCTGAACACCACGACTTCATATACTTTCCTTTTCCTGTACAGAGTTGCTTATACATAATTATCTGTGCGATATTCGGAACTTGTTGCGGGATGACCGAGGCACTGTGCCACTTCAGGCCCTCCATCCTTCGTTCTATTTAGAGTGTGGGGTCCGAAATTCCTCCTGCGCCACACCCAATGAGTTGCGATTAACTCACACCCGTGCCACACACATCCTAGCACAGCCACTTGATTGTCACTCAGATCGACCCCGACGTGGCCCACTTTAGTTTCTCATCGTCTTCTAGTCAGCGGGTGATGCGCTCGGGGAATTATCAACATTCACTGCCATGAGGCTTTATAACATTCAACTCGAATTTAGGGAATGGTGGGGTTCTCGGGTTCTCGGGTTCCCATGAGGCTGTTTGTTGATGTGCGAGTTTGCTTCATAGGTTTGGTATTATCTATGGACAGGGCAGAGGAAGATACGCCATCGGAGTGTGGCTGGTGCATTAGAAAAGACGTTTTGTTGCCGTCCTTTTAAGACAAGCTGAAAAGAGGATCCATTCTGATATGCTAGGCCAATCTTTTCGGCGACTGCGCCGCACTTTACTTAAAGTTATGGTCACAATCATCGCTTTCTCCTACATAAGCCACTGTTCTCCTTCATCGTGAGCATACCGATTGCGAAGGCGGAATTGCCACAACTCTTCTCTTGCTGGTCACACATATTCAGACAAATACTCAGATATCATTGGTAATTTCTTGAAAGCTCTTCTGATGTACGTACGCTCATGCATTTCAAGGTTAACAAACAACATCGTCTTTACGCAAAACAAAGTCATACATCATGTCTGTCACGCGTGTTGACTCTTGTGTATCAGCGATCGAGGATAGCCTCACCAAATTGGAAGTCAAAGAAGACAGCTGCACTGATTGCCAATGCGTCCAAAACGCACTAGCCGATCTCTATCATGGCGAGGAGGATGGTGTTGTTCAACCCTTCTGCGTGTGGGAACAAACAAGTGCTCCAGCCTGCCAACTACGTGCTTCGTTACAGGTTCGGCCAGCATATCTATCGGACCGCATATCTTGGTTTTTCCACTCCTATGCTCTTAAAGAAATGTTCTACGAGCCGGATATCGAAGTGTCAGAAGGAACCGTTGTGAGCATCGTTAGTGGCAGTGGAAATGAGCCACATACTCTCAGCAAACCATCATATCTCCAAAAAATCACCCGGGTATCCAGTATATTCGTGGCCCCTACGGCGCATCAACCTTTGCTGGAGCCACACTCAAGAGATCAGGTCTATGGTAGAAAGATTCAGCTGGAAGCGATTGACTTCAGCCAGATCAATTCTTGGCTGGCTACGAACACGTTATATGAACTCAACAATGAAGAATCCCAAAGAGAAGGCACGAGATCCGTCCCAGTTTCCCTTATTGACATACACACAAGGAGGATCGTGCCGAAGTCCAAGTCCCACTCCCAAACGAAGTATGCAGCTCTAAGCTACGTATGGGGAAAACCCGGTGGGACGTCTCACGAGCAGACCTCTATCGAGGAACTTCCAGTTGAATGCCTGAAGACAGTAGAGGATGCGATTACTGTAACAAAGAATCTTGGATTGGATTATCTTTGGGTTGACCAGTATTGCATCAGCAGAGACGAGAAGATCCGACATTCTCAAATCGCCAGGATGGACATTATCTACAAGAAGGCCTTCATCACTATCATCGCTGCTGCCGGTCAAGATGCTAATCATGGCCTACCGGGGATATCTATCCCTCGAGTGCCAATGTTTCAATGCGAAGGAGGCCTTGTCCAGGTCTATGCTGAACCTACCGACATACTTGGTAAATCGAAATACAGTACAAGAGCCTGGACGTATCAAGAAAAGATCTTCTCCTCGCGCTCTCTCATATTTACTCCGCAACAAGTATTCTTCGAATCAAGGTACGCTCTGTTCTCCGAATCTCTCGGCAGCTCTGCTTCTCCCCTTTGGAGGTCCAAGTCCAATACAGGCCAGGTGAATGATCCTCTAGCGCTAGGAGCCCACCCTTTCACAACCCCAAGTTTTCATCGGATGAGAGTAGGAATCATCCAAAATTACAAAAAGCGCAACATGCCTAGAAATTATCGACCATCCTCCCTAAGGCTTTTTCGAACACATGTGGAGCTGTATTCTCAACGGGAGATGACCTACGGTAGCGACGCGCTCAATGCAATGGCGGCAATCCTTGAAGAATTCGAACGGCGCAAGAACTATGTTAAGAGCGCCTACGGGATTCCATATGAATGGATTTCACTTCGAGATCACTCAAGCCGAATTTCATTCTGTGCTGGTCTTAGTTGGGTAAACGAAAATTGGCGAAATCAGTGGAGAAGACGTGACGACTTTCCAACATGGAGCTGGACGAGCTGTGATAGTCGGATCACCTGGCTAGAGTTGAATGAGGATGCAAAGTCGTATTACGCAGCGGACGTGAATTACGAATGGTCAGATGCGAGCGTTCCGCTGGACTGTCAATGTATGCCGCCTTCTAAAGTATCAACGGCATTCTCAATTCCTGGGCCTGGAGAGAAAATCTTGAGAGGAGCCGGCAATGTCCTCCCCGTCGATTTCAACGTGGAAAGCAATGGAAAAAAAATCTACATAAACCTAAAGGCTGGCCTCGACAGCAACCCTCGATTTATCTCTGCCCTTTACATAGCATGGCGCTTCCTTGCGGACATCCGATATCGAAAGGGTGAGAATTTAGTGGCCGTAAAACTCGCAGAGCGTCATGGTGTTCATCGTGAACCTGAAAATGACCCGGCTAGATGTGAGGTCCATCTGATGGTTATTACAGAACCGAAATTTGAGGGTGATACTAGCGAGCGTGTAGGGCTTATGAAGGTTCCTGTAAAATGGTATCGAGAGCAAGAGGCGTCCATGAAGTGGCGCCAATTTCTTCTTGTCTAGGGGATTAGAGACACAGGAACAAGTCCATGGCCTGGTATAAATTGTCAAGGATCGGAACAAGATTAAACTGGCTGTCGGTACCTATCCATTAGTGACAAGATTTGATAGCAACATAAGCTACATAGCATTTACAGTGATGAATTGCGCTATCTTTTTGAGTCTCAAGCATCTTCTTACCTAAGGCGCCGTGAGAAGAACAACCAAAATAAGCCACGGCACCATGAGTTTCCATGAGACTAGAGGGTTTAGACCGAGGAAAAGATGCCTGGGAGACGGTATTTCGTTCCAATGAGGCAATGAGGTTCAGGTTACCATGATCCATACTTTGGAATTTAAAACGTTATTCGAAATTGCAACACGCATGTTGAACCATGACGCTTGTAGTGTTGGGAGCTTGCCCAACTGATGATATAGCCCCACAAGATATCAAGTTCCCTTGCGAATAAAATCTTTCCTGAATTCCAAGATATGTTAGCGAATATAACAAGGGGCTGGGATACTGAACTCATTTCATAAGGAGTATGATGGATCAAAGGTTCTGCTACGCCAAAGTTTTCAGGTTGGGGTTGGTCCCAGTTCGGCAAAGTTCTTTTGGCGACCCCTGACAGCCCCGCCACACCCCGCTCCACTATGTATTGCACTGAGCGTCACACCAACCAAGCCGGTGTATTATTCTACATTAGTCGAGTGGAGATTCCCTAGCTGTTTGGAAAGAGAGTCTTTGATTGGCTTGATCATAGTTTCCAGCCGATGATTGCATGACTGTTCCTATGTTAAAGCCCCCTCTGTCCGATTCAACGTGTCATAGATCTTCAGTCCATCGACTGGTGGCACCGAAGTCATCTATGCGATTACGACTGGTTTTATCGCAAAGTCAGCGTCTGTAAAAGACAAAAGTCCAACTTGATAATATAACTTAAAAACATTTTCGTTCATCAGAAGCCCACCACGGTTGTGTAGTGTAGTGGTTATCACTCCGGATTTTGATAACCTCAATACTTCCGGCAACCCCGGTTCGAGCCCGGGCACGACCTGATTACGATCTTGTCACCTTTCTGATCTTCTTTTTTTTGTGTTTCTCAGGGGCTCGTTCGGGCATGTGAAAGCTTCTGTAACGTCGAGAATGAGAACCATCGATATTTTTACATTTGGAGCCCATCCAATTTGAGAACCACATGTTTTATAAATACGTTGTAAGTTGGGCCGTGAAATTGAACAGGATGAATTTTTACAGCTTGCAGAATGTTCAGGATGTATACAGTTGTGATTTCAATTCGATAGGAAACATAGCCGAGTACGTTTCTCCTTCTTGTTCAATAGCCAACATACTGTACTCTCAAGGTAGATGTCCCCAGAACTGACGCAAGATAGTGAAAGTTGGAAAGAGGTATGTGTAAACACTGTAAGCCGTCCGCTTCTGGGGCTGTGTGGGCGGCACTGCTACGACTCTACCATCTTCATAGACAAGTAAACAGTATGTGTTTTGTGAGCTTGAATAACATCCCATAAAGAATCATGGTTGAAAGCATATCATCATAATGTACAAATGCTCTAACCTCGTATACTCTATCCCTTAAAACCTTCTAGCTGGGCCCATGCGATGTACATGCTCAGTGCAGCCAATACCGGCATCAATCCAACTGCAAGCGCAACAGGTGGAATGCTGAATACTGGTGGTCTGGGCCTGCCGATTTTCAGCATGCCTTGTATTTCAGTCTCCAGCCGTTCCGCCATCTTCTCTTTCGAAAATTCCTTCACAACTCGTTCTCGACCCCATTTGCCCATCTCGTTCAGTCTCTCCTCGCCGTCCCCATCCTCGAGTGCGATGCGCATAACCTCTGTCCAGTCCTGTACCTTCTTCACGTCCCTCAACCAGCCGGTCTGCCCACTAATGACTGTCTCTGTTGGTCCGCCTTCGTTTGCCGCCAGTACCGGTGTGCCAGCCAACATGGCCTCGAGAGGTACAATTCCAAAATGTTCATTACGTGGTGTGTATACCAGGAGGCGTGATGTAGAGAGGAGGGCTGACTTGAACGCGTTCGGGACCGAATGTAGGAATAGAATCGATATGTCGTCAGGAATGCTCTGGGCGGTGACCACAGTCTTCGCAGTTGCATGTTTGAGCTTGGAGGAGTCTGCGAGCTCGCACAGCTCGGTATAGGTCGCTAAATTCTCAGCGACTCGGGGGTCATAACCGCCAGCTATCACCAGCCTTGTATTCTTCCTCTCCTCCGTTGTCAGACCTGCATATGCCTTGATCGCAAGACCCACATCCTTCTTCTTCTCAAATCTGTTGATACTTAAAAGCACCTTCTTGTTCTCCCACAGCGGTTTCACGACTTCGATGGGATCGCTAGGGTTTGTGTCGACACATGGGTAGACAACGCCGGGTTCGCGGTGCTTGAGACTGGGGAATGCCTCGCCAAATACGCTCTTCGTGAACTTGCTATTGACGACAATTTTATCGCTGCATCCAGTGCTCCAGCTCTCGATCCAATCAAATGGACCACGATACAGCGTCTTCAACAGCCCTCCCTTTTTTGCCAACAATTTGTCAGGGAAATGGCAGTAAAATATGATCCGCACATTCGGCTGCAACAATCGAAGGAGGGGTATTCCCGCACTAAGTTGGTCGATGAAGAAGGATGTAGGTTTTAGTTTCTGTAATTCCGAACTGAACAGAGCGATCTGTACGATCAGGTGGAGCTGACGCAGGATAGCGCATAAGATTGCGAAGCGGCCGAAGATTGTCGCCGGGACGATGGAGTTTCCGCGAACTCTAACATCAAGGGTATCTTTACGATGCAAGGTGAGGACTCAGCTACCTTCATACTACTATGAGCGGTGGGAGGACACGAGGCAAGGCTTGGTACTTACCATCGCGGGCTTCGTCGAAGCAATGGTTGCGGTCACGATGTGAAGTGAATATGATAACTTTGTGGCCACGGTTTTGGAGACCTACCGCAGCATCAATGACCAGGCGCTCGGCTCCGCCGATGCCCAAGTCAGGGTGGAAAAACACAATATTCTGTGCCTTCGAGGCCATGGTTGTGTATTGTTCCAGGAAATTATAGGTGGCATACGTGTTGCAAGCAGCATACTCAAAGGCATCTGGCTAGACTATACTGCTTATGGAATAGCGTGGGTTCATTGGGCCGGTGGGCTCCCAGCCCATCGAAGGATGACCTCCGTTATAGCATCGCACATGATCGTAGCAACATCACACACCCACCGGTAACAAAAGGCAAACATCTGGGAATCCTTTCAAACCTAACTTTTGATGACTTCTGCCTCCTCAAAGTCCACAGCATAAGGTCCCTTCCCTCAGAACTATCAACATGCAGGCTGGGAGGCAACCACTTCGCGCTTTCATCCCTCAACCACACTACTAAGCCACCGATATCATGGGTCAGGGTTTCTCCCTCACGACACTTTCCGCCGGCTCGGCTGGTATTGATGTACCGCAGCTTGCAGACATTCAATATGAAAAGAGTCTTGGAAAAGCACGTTTCATGAAAACGGTCCGAGCGCGACATAAGGATGGGTTAGTCGTTGCTCGAGTAGTTGCGAAACCATACGCACAACTAAACCTCGATCAATATGTCAAGCGACTCATAGGTGAGTCTTGATTCTGAGAACCACGAATTAATGTGTTCACTAAGATGCTGGGTAGAGGAACGAAAGATACTTGCCGACATCCCAAATGCGCTGGCATATCATCGGATTCTCGAAGATGAGATCGGTGGATACTTAGTCCGGCAGTACATTCACAGCTCCTTGTATGATCGCTTAAGGTAATTTTCAGCACCATGTACGGCTTGGGTTTATTAACTAAGTCTGTCCAGTACCCGTCCGTTTCTAGAAGAGATAGAAAAGAAATGGTTGTCTTTCCAGTTACTTAATGCCGTCCGTGACTGCCATGCTCATAATATCTATCATGGCGATATCAAAACCGAAAACGTTCTCGTAACCTCCTGGAACTGGTTGTATCTCGCCGACTTCTCTTCTTCCTATAAGCCTGTCTACTTACCAGAGGACAACCCTGCGGACTTCTCGTTCTATTTCGATATGTCAGGGCGTCGTACTTGCTACCTTGCACCAGAACGGTTTTTGCCATCCGGGGAACAGCCAGAAGGAGAAGTTGGTATCACATGGGCTATGGATATTTTCAGTGTCGGTTGCGTTATTGCGGAGTTGTTCATCGAATCACCAATATTCTCGCTCAGTCAGCTCTTTAGGTATCGCCAACACGAGTACGATCCAGTACACTCACAACTGAGTAAGATACACGATTCTGGCGTCCGAGAGCTCGTGGCATCCATGATCCAGATCGACCCGAACGCAAGATTGCGAGCTGAAGATTACCTGGAACACTGGAAAGACAAAGTCTTTCCGAACTACTTCCATGGTTTTCTTCAGCAATATATGCATTCAATTACAGATCCCACTTCGGGCCGAAAACCAGTCACGACCACCGGGGAGCATTTAGGAGAGCCGGATGATCGAATCGAACAAATCTACAGCGATTTTGATAAGATATCCGTGCTCCTGGCTGGCAATGATGGAGATGAACACCCAAAGCCCCAACATTCGACTCTTAAACCAAACGCAAAACTGTTCCCCCTGACCGTTGATATACCCAACTACCAACACCAAGCTTCTCCTGTCCCAAGCCTGTCTGTTGATGACGGGAATTTGATCTTCCTCACGATTGTCGTTTCATGCATTAGAGGAACAGCTCGGGCCAGTGCGCGGCTCAAAGGGCTGGAACTTCTTTTAGCTTTTGCAGAGAGGCTTACCGATGAGGCCAAAATGGACCGAGTTGTGCCCTATGTGGCTTCCCTCTTGACGGACAAGTCTGAAGTCGTCAAGGTTTCGGCTTTGCGTACCATGACTCAAATACTTGCGATGGTACAAGTTGTGTCCCCCATAAACGCCTACATATTCCCCGAATACGTACTCCAACGACTGGAACCTTATCTCCCAGACTCTTCAATGGAGCGCCCTAGCTCCCTGGTTCGAATGCACTATGCGTGGTGTATAGGTACACTCGCAACGACCGCAGCTAGGTACATGGACATGATTCAATCTCTCCGTACGGAGGGTGCTCTTCCCACCACAGATGCCGCAGGCGAAGAGGGGATGACATCATCTATCCGACGGAACCAGTTCGACTCAGATCGATCAAATCTCATCGATGCTTTCCAAAAGCATACCACAGCCCTGCTCACAGATCCAGACGTGGCTGTTCGCCGTGCCATGCTCAAATCAGTATCGGAGCTCTGCGTTTTTTTCGGGAGCCCAAGGGCGAATGATGTCATTTTGAGCCATCTGAATACTTATTTGAACGATCCTGACTGGATACTTAAATGTGCTTTTTTCGAATCTATCGTAGGTGTCGCCGTATTTGTCGGCGGCCCAAGTTTGGAAGGCTATATACTTCCACTTATGGTTCAAGCTCTAACCGATCCCGAGGAGTTCGTTGTTGAAAAGGTCATAAGAGCCTTCTCTTCAATGGCGGAGCTTGGACTATTCCAGAGGTCCAAAACGTGGGAGCTTGTCGACATTGTTGCGAGACTAACAATGCATCCCAACCTTTGGGTACGGGAAGCGGCCGCACAATTCATATCTGCCGCATCAAAATATCTCTCCATCGCTGATAGACACAGTATCTTGATAAATCTGATCAAACCGTATTTAAAGATCATTCCTTCCGAGTTTTCTGAACTAAGAATATTGGACTCCTTGAAGAAACCCTTACCTAGATTGGTGATGGACATGGCTGCGAACTGGAGCACACAGGCTCAAAAAGGTCTATTCTGGTTACCCGCAAGACAACAACAAACTTTTACCTTTGGTTCAACAGATGATGCATTACCAACCATTTCAGGAAGGGAACTGGATCCAAAAGCATTGCAGCGAATACCTAAGAACGAGGAAGACGAACAGTGGTTGCGAAAATTGCGAAACGCAGGAATGACGCTCGAAGACGAATTCAAACTGGTAGCATTGCGTGAATTTATATGGAGAGTCA